GTGGAGAAAGGGGAACCCTTGTATATTGTAGGTTTAAATGTAAATTAATGCAAAGACTATGGAAAACAGTGTGGAGGTTCCTGAAAAAACTAAAAATAGAACTGTCATATGACCCAGCAATCCCACTGCTGGGTATATATCTAAAGGAGGGGAATTCAGTATATTGAAAAGATATCTGCACTTCCATGTTTCTTGCAAGCACTATTAACAGTAGCTGAGATTTGAAATCAACCTAAGTGTCCATCAGTGGGTGAATGGATAAAGAAATTCGTATATATACACGAATGGAATATTATATGGCCACAAAAAGAATGAAATCCTGCTATTTATAATAACATGGATGGAAATGGAGAACATTGTATTAAGTGAAATAAGCCAAGCACAGAAAAACAAATTTCACATGTTCGTACTCACATGTAGCAGCTAAATGTTAAAAACAATTGATTTCATGGAGACAGAGTATAATGATGGTTTCCAGAGGCTGGGAAGGGTAGCATGGAGTGGGGGGTAAAGTGGGGATGGTTAATGGGTGCCAAAATATATTTAGATAGAATGAACAATATTTGATGGCACAACAGAGTGACTGTAACCAATCATAAGTTAGGATATATTTAAAATAACTAAGAGAGTAGAACTGGAATGTTCCTAACACAAAGAAATGATAAATGCCTGAAGTGATGTATGCCCGAATTACCCTGATTTGATTAATTCACATTGTATGCCTGTATCAAAACATCACATGTGCCCTATAAAGATATACAACTATTAATATTATGTATCCATAATAATTAAAAATTAAAAAAGAAAAAATACGTAAAAGAAAATAGAAAATAATCATCCCTATTTCCACCAATCAAATTTAAACAATGTTAACATTTTTGTCATGTTTGATTTTAGGCTTTTGGTTTAAGAAATATCCATTATTTTGAAGAAAACAATACATGAGTATTACTTTGAATTCAAACAATGTAGAAAGTTCAAAATGGTAGTAATGCAGCTTTCCCACATCTCGCCACCCAGAAATTGCCATAATTAACCCTATGTGAACATTATTCCGACTATCTTTCTATGTATATAGAAATATACATTCAGATAGAGGACTAGAGTGATGCTTTGATAATTTTACTTATAGCTCACTGCAGCTTTGAACTGGGCACAAGTGATCCTTCTGCCTCAGCCTCCCAGGTAGCTAGGACTACAGGTGGGTACCACCGTGGCTGGGTAATTTTTACAATGTTTTGTAGAGATGGTTGTTTTGCTGTATTACACAGGCTGGTCTTGAACTCCTGGCCTCAAGGAATTCTCCTGCTTCTGCCTCCCAAAGTGCTAGGATTACAGGTGTGAGCCACTATGCCCAACCTTTTTTTTTTGTTGTTTAATGTTTAGGAAAAGTATACTCTGAAATTGTGGCCCTTAACCCACAGGCCATGGACTGGTATCCTTCCATGGCCTGTGAGGGACAGTGGCCCCACAGCAGGAGTTGGCCACATCACCACCTGAGCTCTACCTTCCCCCGACCTCTACTGTCCCTGAAAACATTGTCTTCCACAAAACCAGTCTCTCGTGCTAAAAAGGCTGGGGACCACTGCTCTAAAATATAAAAAGTATGGCATAGTAGATTCATAAACCAGTTGTTTATTATCATTATCAAATATTATGTAAGGTACATAATTGTATTGCTCTGTTTTAGGTGACTGGCAACACAGCAGGTTTGTTTACACCAGCATCACCACAAACACGCGCGCTGTGGCGCTCCACAATGTTAAGGCAGTTGTGTCACCAGGTGATAGGAAGTTTTCAGCTCTGTTATCACCTTACAGGACCATCATCATATATCTAGCCCATTGTTGGCCAAAATGTCATTATGTGGTGCCTGAATGTATATAAAATTTTATTTATAAGTCTTAATTCACTATGGTTTTTTTAGTAAAGCAATGTGTTTGGTGCCTTATATTAAAATTTCAATTATTGCTGATCTATTGATACTATAAACATTTTAGGATATAAAAACTATATTTTACGAACTTTGGTTGGCCTGTAATTTTGCTTTTTTGTATAGCCTATCTATGGTTTTGGTGTCAAGGTTATATTAACCTTATTAAAATGATTGTTGGGAGGGAAGTATATTCATGGTTTTGTGTTGTTTAAACTTTTGGTAAACTCATTTATAAAACCATCTGGGTTTGGTGTTTTTCCTCTCTCTTTCCTTCCTTTTCTTTTTTTCAAGTCTTCTTATTCTAGAATAACACTCAGAAAAGTGCACAAAAAGTGTATAGCTCAATGCATTTTCACAATGTTAACTCCAGAATAAGATGTACAATATTGGTAGCATTCCTCTTATTTCCTGTCCCTTCATTAAAAGTAACCACTATCTTAAGGAATATATCAAATACCATAGTTTAGTTTTGTCTGTTTTATGTTTGTTTATTTATTTATTTTGAGACAGAGTCTTGCTCTGTTGTCCAGGCTAGAATGCCATGGTGTCAGCCTAGCTCACAGCAACCTCAAACTCCTGGGCTCAAGCAATCATTCTGCCTTAGCCTCCTGAGTAGCTGGGACTACAGGCATGTGCCACCATGCCCAGCTAATTTTTTCTATATATATTTTTAAGTTGGCCAATTAATTTTTTCTATTTTTAGTAGAGACAGGGTCTTGCTCTTGCTCAGTCTGGTTTCGAACTCCTGAGCTTGAGCGATCCTCCTGCCTCAGCCTCCCACAGTGCTAGGATTTATAGGCGTGAGCCATTGCACCTGGCCAGTTTTATCTATTTTATATTCATGTTTTGGTTTCATACAATATATATACTTTTGTGTCTGTTTTTTTTTCACTCAGCATTATGTTAGGTTCATCTGTGTTGTTGCAGGTAGCTGCAGTATGTTCATTTTCATTACACTATAGTATTCCACTTATTTATCCATTGCATTTTCAATAGATATTCAGTTGCTTCCAGATGTTGACAATTAAAAATTGTTCCTCTATAAACATTCTTATAACTGTCTTTTGGTACCCACAGATTGCATATCTGTTGGTATACACTTACCTGCTAAGTCAAAGGGTTCTTTTTAGTAGATACTTCTAAATTATTTTCTATTAATTCCTGTTGCTGCACATTCTTCTAACACTTGGGATTGTTACTTTTTAAGTATTTGACATGATCTGGTGGATATGCAGTGGTAGTATTTCATTTTGGCTTTAATTTGCATTTCTCTGATGACTAATGAAGTTCATGATCCTTTCATGTATTTATTGGCCATTGGGTAGCACCTTTGTTAAGTGTCTATTTGAGCCTTTTGCCCATTTATTATTTTTTTTAATTCCTTTTTTTCTTTTTTTTTAGAGATGGAATCTTGCTATGTTTCCCAGGCTGGAGGGCAGTGGCCATTCACAGGCACAATCCCACTACTGATCAGCGTGGGAGTTTTGACCAGCTTTTTATTCTGTTTTTTGTTTGTTTTGTTTACAGATTTGTAGGGGTTCTTCAGTTATTTTGGTTACAAGTCCTTTGTCAGATACATATATTGCAAATAATCTTCTTTTACTTTCTGCCTTGCCTTTTCACTTTCTTAGTGGTGTCTTTCAAATGGACGCAGTTCTTCATTTTTAAAGTGGTGCAAGTTTTCCTTGGTGACGAGTGCTTTTGGGTCTCCTGTTTCTTTGCCTCTGCAGTCATGAAGAAAGCCTCTTACATTGTCTAAGAACTGTTTTCTCTTATCTTTTGCATTTACATCCTGGAGTTAGTTTTTGTCTATGGTGCAGGTAGGGACTAAGATTCATGTTTTTTTTTCTTTTAATTTAGGTATCCAGTTAACCCAGCACTGAGGAATTTGGTTTTGTTGTTGTTGTTGTTTTGATAAAACTATTTTTTTCCTCATTGCTCTATGTAAGTGTCACTTTTATTACAAATTATGTCCATTTACATGTGGGTCTGTTTCTGGACTCTTCTGCTTGATTGGTCTGTTTTTCTATCTTTGTACCATCACCACAGTCTTCAGTCCTGGAGCTTTACAAAAGTCCTGACATCCAGTGGAATAAACACTCCTGTCTTGCTGTTCTTCAACATTACTTTAGCTGTTGTTGGCTCTTTGCATTCCCATATAAATGACAAAGTTAACTTTTCCATTTCCTCAAATAAATATATTGGGATGTTGATTGGTATCACCTTGAATCTATACATTATTTTAATTTTTTTTTTTGAGACAGTCTTGCTCTGTTTCCCAGGCTAGAGTGCCGTGGCATCAGCCTAGCTCACAGCAACCTCAAACTCCTTGGCTCAAGCGATCCTCCTGCCTCAGCCTCCTGAGTAGCTGGGACTACAGGCCTGTGCCGGCTAATCTTTTGTGTATATATTTTTAGTTGGTCAAATACTTTCTATTCAAACTCCTGACCTCGAGCCATCCACCCATCTCGGCCTCCCAGAGTGCTAGGATTATAGGCATGAGCCACCCTATCCTTTCTGTTCTTCAGTCCATCTGCTAAGTTCATTATTTCACTAATTTATTGCATTATTTCAGTTATTGTATTTTATGTGCCTGTTTTTTCACCCTACAGTGGGACCAAGTTTCTCTATGTTGTCCCAGGGGTTTTTGTCTATGTTTAAACAAAAACTAGTTTTTAAAATTGAGTATACATACTGTCTGGCAACTTACTGTTTCTTAAAACGGCTTATTAATATAATTGATTATATATGGAGATAGTTTGGATTCAATAAATATAGGTTTTTTGGGTTTTTTAAATTTGAGACCAAGTCTTGCTTGGTTGCCCAGGCTATATAGTGTGGTGGCGTCACATTAGCTCACTGCAACCTCAAACTCCTGGGCTGAAGTGATCCTCCTGCCTCAGCCACTGAGGCTACAGGTGTGTTCTACCATGCCTGGCTAATTTTTCTGTTTTTGGTAGAAACAGGGTCTCTCTTGCTCAGGCTGACCTTGAATTCCTGGTCTCAAGTGATGCTCTCGCCTCAGCTTCCCAAAGTGCTAGGATTACAGGCATGGTCCCACCGTGCCCAGCCAAATATAATTTTATTATACACTTCTGTGGGTATATATGTGTGTGTGATTTTATATCCCTTTTATACTGAAGTGTCCTCATCTTATTGCCTCATTTTCTTAAATATAATTGTGCATTAGTGCTAGGGTAGAGTGTAGTGGTTAGTATTCTATAAGTACTTAACCATTTCCCTCTTTGGGGCCTTTAAGTTGTTTTCAGTTTATAAATGTTATGATACTAAAATAAATATGGATAATATGTTTTCTATTTGTAGGGTCATTTACCAAGATGGATTTGCATAATGGATCAAATGGACAAATAGGTGAAAGGAATCAATATTTTTAGATTGTCAACCATGTAGGGGAGTGCCTAGAACATAATGGATGTTCAAATATTTATTAGATGAAAGAATATTATAAAAATTGCTTTCCTATATGGTTGTACCAATTTTTATTCCCACCAATTATACGAGATTATTTTCCCACAAATCTTAACGCTTGAATTATTTTGATGATATGATTGTAACCAAAAGAATTCTCTGTCTTGGGGAAAGAACCAGATGATATAACTAAGGTCTGTTTCTCTTTTTATTTTTACCTTCTGGATAAAGGAACATATGTTTTCTTACAGGACTGAATTTGCTCTTAAAGAAATCATGTCCTCTGGAGGTGCTGAAGATGATATCCCACAGGGAGAGAGGAAAACAGTTACAGATTTTTGTTACCTTCTGGATAAATCTAAGCAACTATTCAATGGGTTAAGGTTAGTGGACTCTTGATGTTTGAAACTTTTCTCTAGTTCTGCACTTACCATGTCCTGTGGTAAGTTTCTGAAAGTTGTGGACAGAATGTTACATAAATGTCTGTAGTAGAAGTGATCATAATTTTTTTTCTTTGACACTTTTTTTATTCTTAGATGAAGAAGCAATAGAAAAGGAGGATAACTTACATTGTTTTACTGTAGTTGAGAAGAACTGTTTGTTAGATGGTTTTACATACATTACTCACACCAGACCTGATTTACATCTGATTATACACATTAGCGTATTTAAGTCCAAGGAGCCTAAGAATGCGTATGTGATGGAAAGAGGAGCCCCCTGTTGAATTTGTGTACATTTGTTTCCTTGCTTGTTTCTTTTTTCTTTCCTCTCTCCCTTTCACCCTTCCAATGCATACCTGTTGACTACAGTAATGATGGAATGTTCTAGACAGTATTATTTTTACTTTAGTTATATGTGCCCTGAGCAGACTGGCTGCCGAAGCCACGCGTGCTTTTGTCAAACTGTGTTTTTGATTGTGTATTCTTGTGTGTGGTGGGTAATAATTAAGAGAAGGGTTTTTTTTTTTTTTTTTGGTTATCATTCCCTCGTATTTGTGTTAGTCTGAATAGGATCACAGTGCTTATAGAAAACAAGAAATATTTTGGTAATGGTCTGGACTGGCATTGTAGTTTGGGGAAATGGGATCCAGCTGGAATAGTGTTAGCTTTTGACATGCGGCCCTCCCTCCCACCTCCTGACTTGTCTTTCAGCTAGCTTTCCTTTGTTTTCTCTTTCTTCAGTTCATGAACTAGATATTAAACTTATTATTGAAGTATAATATATACTTATGGAAAAGTGGACATGCTATAAGTGTGTTTTTTAGAAACTGAGCACATCCATGTGACCTGTACTCAGATGAAGAAATAGAGCATATAGCACCTCACAAACCTCCCTTCTGTTCCCTCTCACTTGGACTTTTGAACTCTCTATGAACAGTGTAAAAAAGTGCATTATGAGTGCATTAAAGGCTTCAGATTTTTTGAATAATGTCTCATTTGGGGTATAATAAATTCTCTTTTTACTCTTGAGGTGTATCTTTCCACATTATGTTGAACTGTTCATCTAAGTGTCAGGGACTTTCATTTTCCCAGCTGTGAATATATTAATGGAATATTTTTCTTGGTTGAAAATACCTTTTATAATGTGTGCACAATAGTTTAGCTCTTCTTTCCATTCACCATGTAAGAAAACACAGTCCAGAGAGTAAGAAATGGATAAAATAAATGATGTTTTGCTTATAATAGCTCTTGCATGTAGTTAGAATAGTAATGAAGTAAGAATGATGTTAGAAAAAGCTTTGAATACTGTCAGAAAATGTTCAAAAGCCCAAGTGCTTGCAGGGTTCTGGTTACCATGGTGACTAAGACTGTGGAAGCAGAATGGAATACTTGGTGGGATTATATAAGGCAGCGTCTCGAGACATATATTTGAGAAATACCATCTATGTCTGTCAGTGCTACCCCTGACTTGTGGTGCTTTGCAAAAGCAGAGCCCCCCAGTTACTAATTATTTAACTCCAGAGGAGCAAATAAACAAAGCCAAATAAGCCTTGGAGGCCATTTTTTTATATGTATGTATATTTTTTTCTTTTTATTTTAAATATCTAAAAGTATATCAAAGTGAAGTGTAAGGGTCTTAAGTAAAAATAATTGCAGAAATTATTTTTATTAAATATGCTCCCAGTATTCAAATTAAGAAAGAAATCATCTATAATGCTTCTGTAGAAGCCAATTTTTAGAATGCCCTTGTTCTTAAATAGGAGAGGATAGCTGAGAAATAAATGACTTGTTCCATTGACCTCTTTTCCCCTCCCCTGACCTTTCCTTCTTTTCTTTTCTTCCTTCCCTGCCTCTTCCTTCTCCTTCTTCAGAGATTAATATTTTCCTAGAAGCAAGTTCTTCAAACTGGTAATAGTAAAGTACATATTATTTTAGAGATTATACCCTAGACTGTCTATACAAGCTTGTGATACATGCTTTCATTTTATATGGCTTACCACTCAAAAGAATTAGACTTGCATTTGAGGTATACTGCCACCAGAGTGCAGTAAGTATCTTGATTACATGCTCTAGAAAAGCATTGACTCTAATGTGAGTCACAAATGTAATTTAAAATCTTCTGGCCACATTAAAAAAATATAAAAAGAAACAAGTAAAGTTAATAATTTTTATTTGGTCTGTGCATCAAAAATATTTTATTTCATTATGTAATCAACATAGAAAAATCATTATTATTTTTTTAAGAGATGGGGTCTCGCCATGTTGCTCAGGCTAGGCTCAAACTCCTAGGCTGTAGCAATTCTGCCTCCAAGTAGGTGGGACTACAGGTGCATGCCACCATGCCCAGCCACAAAAATTACTAATGAGATATTTTATATTCTTTTTCATGCTAACTCTTTGAAATGCAATGAATATTTTATACTTACATACATTTCAGTTTAGATCAGCTACATTTCAAGTACTCAGTAGCTATGTATGGCTATTGGCTCAGGCAAAATTCCTTCTAGTTTTAGCTTCTATTTTTATAATGGCCCGCTGTGCTTTCTGATGAAGCCATATTGGCTATTTTGAGGTTCTCTTGTTCGCTGGTCCATCAGAGATCCTGATTTGCTTCCTCTGTCTTCCTACATAGATGTGGATAGCATGCAGGTATTTTGGCTGTTGGTAATTTGTCCCTACCCCTCTGTATTTCTGGACTTGACAGATACCATATCATTGTATTAGTTTGCTAGGGCTACAATGATTAAATACCACAGACTAGATGGCTTAAACAACAGAAGTCTATTTTCTCACAGGTCTGGAGGCTAGAAGTCCAAGATCAAGGTGTCAGCAAGTTTGGTTTCTTCTGAAGTCTCTCTCCTTGGATTGCAGATGGCTGTGTCCTTACATGGTCATTCTTAAGTTTGCGCATGCCCCTGGCATTTCTCTGTGTGTCCTAATCTCTTTTTACAAGAACACAACTCAAATTATATTAGGACAGAGTTCGTCCGAGTGCAGGTGCAGTGGTGTTCACAACTAATTGATCACAACCAGTTACAGATTCCTTTGTTCCTTCTCCACTCCCACTGCTTCACTTGACTGGCCTAAAAAAAAAAGAAAAGAAAAGAAAAGTCAGTATAACCTGGTCTTATTAATATATAAGTTAGTTCTTTCTAAGATCTTAATTGTCAGGTTTGATTATAAACACAGAGTATCTTTCCCTTTTAAATTACTGGTGGAAGCTAGATCAGGGATTGGTTAGTTGAAGGGTATTTGTGGTTTTTGAAGATCCTCCAGGTGGAATACAGAGAGAGAAAACAAAAAGGACATATTAAGAACTCTGAAGGGTTCCTTAAATCCTGAAAACAACCTCATTAGTATCTACTAGTTTGGTTCTACAGATTAAAACCAGCTGGGCACGGTGGCGCATGCCTGTAATCCCAGCACTTTGGAAAGCCAAGGTGGGAGGATCGCTTGAGGCCAGGAGTTGCAGACCGGCTTGGGCAACATAGCAAGACCCTGTCTGTATACCAAAAAACATTTTTTTTTTTTTAATTAGCTGGGCGTGGTGGCATGCACCTGTAGTCCCAGCTACTCAGGAGGCTAAGTGGGAGGATTGCCTTAGCTCAGGTGTTTGAGGTTGCAGTGAGCTATGCCCGCACTCTGGCCTGGGTGACAGAGTGAGATCCTGGTCTCCAAAAAAAAAAGCTCGGAAACAAAAAACAAAGCTTTGACAGATAAAGTAAAAGACTGTGTTAATACCTTGTATTATAATTTGGGAAGTGCTACTACAGAGACGTTTTTCCTCAATGTAGGAGTAAGGATTCCGAACACCGATGAATGCTTTACCCTAGGAATGGAGGCAGCTGGCTTCCTGGCTTCTTGCACTTGTTCTCAGAGGAATCCACTTGTGTAGAGCTCCCATGGGTATCACCACATCTGTAAGACAGTCACAGACATTTGCTAGGACAAGCAAGGCTCCAAAACCCTAGAGGGAACATGGGATTTAAAATTTGGCAACCTTTTTTTCTATGAGCAAAGTACCATTAGAAAAATAACGCTATTAATAGCTCTGTCTAAATGTAACCATTTTATACCTCCCTTGGAGCTGGTTCACAGGAGGAGGAGATGTATCTAATTCAAACTAGGAGCAATTATTCAAAGCTATTCAGCTTTCTAAGCCATCATTAGGAATGGAACAATGTACTGAGTACCTTCTATGTGCCAGCACCATTCTAGGCACTGGGCTGGAGATGATAGGGGCAGGATATAGAGATAAGTAGGGGGCCTGCCTTCAAGTGAATCAAGTACTCTTGCACATTTTTTCCTCTCTCATTCAAGAAAAGCTTTGCTTGCTTGTCAGTAAGCAAAGGAGTTGATATAGTGGTGTAACTAAGATATCCTCCCCTAAAGGAAATAGTCAACATTATGGCCTGAGCCTGTTTAATGTCCTCAAACTGATAGATCCACTCCTAAACCTAAATTTAAAAATGGGATATACTAATAGGTTAAAAAAATGCTGGTGTTATGCAAGGAAATGCTCGGTTTGGTTTTGCAAATCTCAAATAGTTTTTGTCTAATATATTCATAAACATGGAAGCATGGATTGGAAGCAAGATGTCCCTGTAATATAGTCCTTTCTATGTAAAGAATAAAGTGTGTATGGGGGTGCAGTATGCACTTTGACCAAAAACCTGATTCAGAGAAGTTTGTTTATTCCTTTGCTTTTGACCCCAGCATTGCTGGATTTCAGGAGCATCCCAAAACCTGGGGAGCAGAATGAGCTCCCATAAAAGCACTTTATTAATATAGAAAATCTAGATTGTTATTCCCTTTGGTAGAAAAGAGAGAGCATGGATCAGGGGTTAGGTGGTTTGAATTTGAATCATATTAATAGCTCTATAATTTACTGGCCATGATTCCCAAGCAACTTACTATGTGTGTATGTGTGTGTGGTGTGTATG